GGCCGGGAGCTCCGCGCCCGCCCCGCGCTTCCTGCCGCCGCCCGGCGGCTCCGGGCCCCGCGGCCCCCGGGGACGTGGCCGGCAGCAGGTCGAGCTGCCTGAGCGGGTGGTGAATCCGCCGTGGAAAAGTTTGGGGGTTGTGGGAAACGTGCGCGGAGCAAAGTCCCGCTGCCACGGAGGGGAGAAAAAGCTTAAAGGCTGAGCAGGATGAAATCCTGTGCGTGGGAGCAGTTGTGAATGCGCGAGACGGCTTCTCGTGGCACTCGTTTAGCACTGGGAAAGTTCACCCGCTTAGTGAACGCTGAGGCAGAAAAGAGAGTGGCTCAGGAACAGCGGGAACTCTCGTGCACTTGCTGGTTTTGCTTTCAGCCTTTGGCATGGACTAAAGGCACCTGAAAGAGCGAAGGGGTCACGTAGTTCAGGCCTAACRAATCCTTGGTCCCTCTGCTGGAGTTGATTCAGAAGCATCTAAAATGTTGGCAGTTGTGATATTGGAAAGCAGTTTAGCTAGAATCTGGAGGTTTGTGGCTTGCTGTTATATTGTGTTTTGGATGAGTGACCTGAACATAGAAACAGTGTTTATATGTAAATATGCAGAGCCCTCTCTTCTCCCTTCCCCTTCTGTCTTTCAAAGAGGCCAGATATGAAGCAATATGTTCCTCTTYGTTCAGCTGGGCATCCTTAAGCTGTCCAAAGGAAAAGTTTATTTGGGTTTCAGGTATTTTCTTGAAAAGACCTTTCCAGTGTGTCTTGAAGGTCATCGTGCACGGGTCGTTACGGCAAGGCGCAGTCACAGGGCTGCTCCCAAGAATACTGTTTATTTTATAAAGAGGCTTGACTCTGTGGTTTTAGTTGTAGCACAAGACAAAGATCTCCTGGCACTTACCTCTAGGGCCTTGCATAAGACATGACCAACATCTTCAGGGTGAGCCAGCTGTCGGGGTGCCCTCCTCATTTGCTGCTCTGTTTTAGTTTTGTTTCTGTGGAGGTCTCAAGACCGCGTGAGGAAGGAGAGCCGCAATCTGGCCATATGCTGCTCAGCTTGGTCTCTGCTCAGAGCTGAGATGCTATTAGTTTTAGTATCTGAGTGGCTTTCTCTAGCCAGAAGGGGYTGCTGTGCTTTGGCCTTCATGGCAAAGTCCATATCTGAAAGGGAGCAGCACTTAGAGCTGAATTGGTGGCCGCAATGTGCTAGTCACATTGTAGTCTGTGCGGGTGTAGATAATGGCAGAGGCTGCTATAATATATGCTTTTAAACATAACCTCAGCATACCTGCCTATTCGCTATTTTCATTATTGCTTCAGTTGCACACTTGCTTAAACTTAGCCGTTTAGTTCTGACCCCTGCCTATCTTAATCCTAGTGCAGCGTGAGGACAGCCTTGAAACGCTAATTTGAATTATGTGCCTTGATCATGCCACTAAATTGGGAGTTTATAGTATGGTTGTGATGCTGTAGTTCTCAGATTGAACAATATAAGCTAAAATGACTATACTATCCTGACAATATCACACTCTGCTAACTTTTCTGTTCATCTAAGATCTTAGTTGATTGTTTTGCTGTCCCATGCAGAGAGAACAGAAAGCCACCAGCTTCGCCTGTCATGCTCTCTTGGTGAGGACAGTGGCCACAGAGCCRGGGCTGTGGCCACAGACAATGTTCTGCTCTCGGGCCTGGCTCAACCGTGCGCCGCTGCTTTCRCTGGGCTGCTGGTGCTGCTGTGCTCTTGGTCGAGCACCTCAGCTAGTGAACCAGGCTGTCAGTCTTGTTTGTGCTCCTCCTGGCTTGTCCTGCAAAGGGATTTTTCCTTTTTGAAGGATAAGTTGGAAAAAATGACTTCCCCTATACTGTTAAAGAAAGGAAAGCTAGCCAAAATGTTCCTAGCAGATAGGTGGGAACATCCTCCCCCCCGCCCTGTAGCCAGGGAGCTCCTTCCATCAGCATACTTGATCCAGGAAAGGCATATGYCTGAACTTGTGGCTGTCAGGCATGGGCAAAGCGAGCACCTCTGAGGCGAGTATGTTATTTCTTTCTAAGCCATCCGCTACAGTTGGGGTCTGTTGGGGTCTGTAGGACCATACATCTAGTGCTGTTTCAGCACTGCTGCCAGATTGATGTAACCACTGAGAAAAGAACAGAATAGCACTAATAGGAACAAAAGGTTTATAAAAACAGTTGCAGGCTGATTTTGTACATCCAGGTTTCCTTGGACCCTGCCTGGGAGGTGGGAAAAGGTTTTCCTCTTTGCCAAAATAAGTAGGAGGAAATAGATGACAAACAACTTTGTTTCTGTAAAGCAGAGAAATCTAGCAAAGTTGGCTGTGAGGATGGGCAAGGAAAGAAGGGATAACTTTTTTTTTTTTTATCAGTCTCTCTAATTCTTGAGTACATGTAGGAAGAGTAATGTTTAGTGCTCATGTGAGAAGTAGGTGATGTAAAAAGAACACATTTAGGTTTAAACATATGTAATAAGAACTRAACAAAGTAACCATTATCTATGATGCCAATTTTTAAATATTCTGTAGAAGCTTTGTAAATTTTTGTACAGGTAGCATGATGAGAAGTTTCTCTGGAGGGGGGAAAAAAAAAGTCTGTTTTGAGAGTGTCTTCCTAATACGGAGTTCCAGTTGTTATTAGGATTAATCCTGTTATCAGGATTAAAATGTGGACTTTTCCTGAAGTTTCTCAAACCAGCATGTATAGCCAAGGAGTCCTAAATTAATGCAGGTATTTAAAACTTGTGAAGATACTTGTACATTCTTACCTGCATCTCCTAGGTACAGATTTGACTCAAGTGTGCCAAATGATTCTTAAAGTTATAGCTGTTTTATCAGAAATACACAACTTCATTGGGATCAGGCATGAGTAGTTTCATGTCTCTTTTGTCCATCTTCAGCTAGTTTGCTGACTTCTTCCAAATAGCAACTTTGAGGAAATCAGGTTGATCCCTTGTGAGCAAGGACACCCCATTCCTGATGGGCATAGCAGAGACCTTCATTACCCTCAGGCAGAGCTTTACCTAGGCTAGAGTCTGAATAAAAGTCTGTTTGGATGGAATATGTGGGTCCATGCTTTCTGAATTCTCATCTAGACAAAGTAGCAGTTCACAGTTTGAGGACTGATTTCGGATCATGCAGTACTTGTGTCTTAAAAATAAACCTTCATTAATGAATGTTTGTGTGCCTGTAGAAGACATAACACAAAGTTAGTATCTTGCTTATGACTTAGGCCTGTCTGTGGATAAGTTATAAAAGGCAAAGCACAAGGTTGAATCTGTGCAAATTATGTCTACTAATATAATACTGATAATCAGTCTGTTTTCATTTGTCCTAGATGAATGTGCGAGTAGGGTTGGGCTTGGTGCAACTTACACCAGTGTCTCGAATGTCCTGGGATCCTTTGCAGCCCTCTATTCTTTCAAGTGTTTTGAGATTATGTTACTCTAGAAGTTGTCAAGGACAGGTTGGCTTTCAAGGTTTGTTGAAAAAGGCCTTGGACATGGCAATGCTAATGAGAGCAATGCTTGAGCACTGAGAGTACTCAGATGTAGAACTGAACAGTGAAACTGCAAACTGGGCAGTCCACTTTAATATGATATTCTTCAAGCTAAATTCATTTTAAAAATGAAAGAAATTTTTGGTCTTAAAATCTGAATAAACAAGAGTGATGTGGCTTGAGCAGATGGTTGAATCAGTTGCTTTTGGTGAGGAAAGTATCCCAGAATTTGAGGAAAAGAAAACTAATCTGTGGGTCTTCGCTGCTGTAGCATGATGATGTTTGTTTATTTGTTTGTTTTTTTTTTCCTTCAGCAAAATTGTTCATATTATGCTGTTAAACATCCTTAAGAAATGCTGAGAGATGTTTGGAGTTTTCAAAAACTTTGATCAAGGGTATTTCCTCTGAGATTCCACCTCCCCACCCTTCTCCCCGCCCAGAACAGGTTGAATTAAATTCTGAGGATTTTTAATTTCACTTGGTCCTGAGAGCGTAGCTGTTAAAAGCTAAAGAGGTTAATTCTTGTTGAGGTAGAGAGAGAAAGAAATTAAAAATATCTGCAGTCCTGTGAGCTGACATTAGCCAGGCACATAACCTGTCTCTTGATCTGTCTTGAAGAGAGGAAGCTTACTTACGTGACAAGCAAAGTTTGTAAGGATTGCTTGTGTGCTATAAAATACATGAAAAATAACTATATTTAACTGTATTATATTGTAATTTATCAAGAAAACGCAGAATGGATTTTTATTACTTTGGTAGTTCTGCTAGAACTAGAGCTAGAAAGAAGGTTCCAAGATGGCATCTAGTGAGAGTGAAACTTTTAAATTGTTCCTATCAGCAGCRTTGAGGCAAATGGTGCATGTAACAGGTTGCTGCGGGAGCAATAAGAATAAAAGAGATGATTTTCCTTCAGGCATGTGCTTGCTGTTACCTGCTCCATGTCCCTGTGACACTCGTTCAGCGCTCTGTTCTCCCTGTTGCGCTCCGTGGCGCCCGTGTCCGTGCGGGGCTGGCGCTACCTTTGCCCAGGGCTGCGCCCTGTGAGGGCTGCGTGACCAGCGTGAATGGGGCTGTCACTGCTCCCGCTCGCTCCCGCTGGCCTGCCCATCTCCCTGAGGCCACGAGGAACCAGGGCTCCTCCGAGCTCCCTTTTCCCTAGGGCAGTGATTTTCATGGAACCCTTATAAACCTGAGCTCTCTGAGAACATTTTATCACTGTGACTAGTGCCAGATAAAATAATGGGTCAAAGTTATCTGGCAATGACCAGACAGATTGTCCTTTGGGAAGGCTGGATTAAAGAAAAGGAAACCTTTAAAAAGGCGAGAGACTCCAGGCAATGCATCCTATAGCTAGGAAGCTGCTCAGGATGTAAACAGTCCTGTAGRTGTTCTGAGCCGTCTGTTAACCTTTGAAAAACCTCAGGCCTCTGTTTCCCACCCTGTGTTCACATTGCAAGGCATGGCACTTAATTGCTTTACACTAATCTTAATCACCTAAGTTGCATAAAACTAGAAACTGTGCTAAGTGCCCCGRCTTCCTATTCCACCTGCATGAGTGTCTTGCACTCCACAGTGATGATAACGCTGCTGCGTTGCGACATAGGAACTGGTCGCACATCCGGGAGTGTTTGGAAACGCACGGCTGGCAGAAGCTCCAAGTTTTAGTGCMCTTGTCTGCTTAGGAGTCTAAACCGACCCTCGTACAGACTGTGATAGAGTTGCAGAATTTGCTTGTTTTGGGGAACAGCATCACTTCTGATGGTTATGACATTTTAAAAGAGAGCACGGCATTGAATGCAACCTCAGCTTTCTTTTTGAATAGAATCAAGTCATTTGAGGTGTCCTATGTCATTTCAGCAAACACTTCATCCCAGTAACCTGTGCCACTTTTTGATGCCCTGCAGAGAGGCCTGTGGCTTCTTGCTTTGTTTCTCAGGCTCTGAGGACTGACTGCTCTTCTGTGGGAGTCACAAACCTTTAGCCACTCGGAGCCATGGTGTATCTTCTTCTAGTGCCCTGAAATGTTTTCCATAATGTCTGTTTTATTCGGGCTTGATAAATTTCCTTGATGGTGATAAATACATTGTATATTGTTTTCAGAAAGGGAGACTGAAATTTAGAATAGGAAACAATGTTGAGCAGCTGATAGCTCTGGTGGTCACTGTTGCAGAAGAAAAAACTATCAGGAAAATGGCATAGGGACTAGTGTTCAGTTGAAGGGTCTTTTACGGATTTAAAAAAAAATATGGGAGTTTAATAGCTATAATGCAATATCTCTTAAATGAAATTGAACTGAGCTACTGTAACATAACGTTTATATAATCTGTAAGCTCTCAGAGCATGAGTAACATCCAGTTGTTATTTTATGCGTAGGTGGAAGGCTTAAATGCGGTAGCCGTTTATTTGACCTTCATCTACAATCTTGTGAGCTTACTCCTGTTTGTTWTTATGCATCTCAACTCTGGACATTAAAAGATGCAGAGAGAAGCATTCTTGTAACTCAGAACTTCATTAACCTGTGTAAGTGATTTGTGCAAAAGGATTCTAAAGCCAAGATGCTACCTGCATGTAATTAACTTTAAAAAAAATAAGTTTTAACACTCCCTTCAACTGCTTTTTAGTACCAACCTTGATTCCTTTTTTTTTTTTTTTTTTTTTCCTCATAGCTATATACATCTGTCAACTGAAACTTTGGCATGATGAGTCCAAATGCAGTGTTAAGACTAACTGCTTTTCAGTCAACAGATAGTATCATTACTTCAAAAATAAAGTTACTCTCATCACGTTCTGGATCTCGCTTGGCTGCTCATGTCTTGCYCCTCTTCTTGGCTTTCCTCCCTTCACCATTCTAAGGAGCCAAAYGAGCCAGGTCACAGCAGCTGGAAACCCCTCTTATGCTCATGGTCTCCTCCAGAGCATTTTTCTCCTGAAGCCCGTTTTCACCAAGGTTCTTGGTGGCCTCTTTTTGCCCAACCTGGGAAGTGACATTCTGGTCTTTATCTCTCGGGGTTTCTGACTGCTTTGTTCAGAAAAGAGAACAATTGTCCTCAGTTTGTGTTTGAGATAGCTTTGTGTTTTGAGTGGTAGGACACTGGCTGACAGTGTTTGAAATAAATAGTGCATTTATTACTGCATTTGTAATAAATATTCAACAAGAGCTTTTAGCACTACTTACTGACTCATAAACAGCGAGAAGGTAAGATTAGCTGCTGACCCTAATGCTTGTGAAGTGAGGCCTTGTACTTGATGCAAAACAGGAATTGGCAGGGCTGATTTCACACTGGGAAAATTTGAGGTACAATCAGGTTTTCAATTTAGGGCTTCTGCCCCCACCCCATTGGAGGGGGAAAGCACACTGAAC